GGGAGTTGGCCACGTAAGTTACCCTAAAGGAAACATCCTCAAGGTGGACGACCATTAATGCACTACTATACGCGATGACTCAACTTATATCGCGCGAGAGCCGTAATAATACGAGGTGTGCGATTAAGTCTTGAGAAAAAACTTTCGCTCGCGCGCGTTTCGTTTTTTCGCTCGCGATTAACGCTATCGAGAGATCGTCTGTTCTTCAGTATCGTCTGCATAAATCTTAGTGAAAATTATATCGCACTTTCACGGCACGGAAAGAACGATTTTGCTAAAGTATTAACAAAATCTAGCTAGATATAGATTTGAAAATAATTTTGTTGTTAAGCATTAAAACAATTATGTAGAAATTTCAGGCACGATGAACAAAAAGTTTAAACATTCCAGCAATCAGTTCGAGCGTCCTACATTATTTTGATGGTGTAACAAAATTATCTTCAGATTTATATCTATCTAAATTTTTACATACTTAAGCAAATTGAAAGTGTTACATAAAGTTTGTTTGAACCAAATGAGAGTAATTGAACGAGTGAACTGTGCGATGATTATTATTTCAAGCTTGAATAATATTGAAATTTGATTTTGATCATAATTGAATTTCTCTTCAACTTTCTTCTTAACGTGGTAAAGTTTTAAAGTTACCATCTTTGGACGAACGTTTGAAAAGAATTTTAATTTCTATTTGGTCGCAGACGGCAGTGCCGTTGTTTTGAGCCGCGTAACAAAAAGATCGATGGTAAGAGAGAAGAGAGCTAGGCTGTCCCGCACAGCTGATGCCATTTTTGCTATTGTTGCGTATTCAACACAGCAGCGAATCGACCCGGGTTCCTTGGATACGGCACCGGGGGCGGCGGAGGGAGGGGGTGCAATTCGCAAACGCGTGTCAGATGCTTTCTCCCGCAGTATTTCCCACTGCGCGAGGAACGATCGATCGCCCCCATTGCGTGCTTGGTACACGTATCCCGACCGTAATTGCCATATCTCCGTCGGCTGCTGCGGATTTCCTGCGAAATACATTACGTTTCTTTACATCGGTCGCGTCGGACGGCGGGCGTCGGGCGCACTTAGACCAAGGTTTACAAATTTTGTTTATCGTACAGGTAGTTTGCACTTTCACGCGAGAAATTCTAAACGAAAATCATTCTTTACAATGTCTTTATTGTAAGAATTTCTCCTGGAAACTTGACATTTTTCAAAGTTACCTGAAGTGTACTTGGGAAGTATACGATCTTTGAATTTATATTTACAGAAATTATGTTGTATAGATACAGATGTAAAATTTTTAGAAAACTCTCAAGTACGCATATTTTATATGTCCGAATAATTAAATATTACATTATATTTCGATGTACATTCATCATTTCTATAACTTATCTATCATGTACTTAACATTATGTTTCTTCTGTACTTTATATACAGTTGTTTGAATTTATAAACCGTGCATATAATAGCGGGTCAATAACCAGTTGTTATTGAACACTTATCCTAAACTTGATACAACTTGATACCGTAATTTCTTTCTACCACACATCTGGCGTTTTCAGTCCGCCTCTATCAACCTCACAGATAATGATAAATGACGTACCAAATCGATGCTAACAACGCGCATCTTTGTTTTTTTTTGTTTTTTCCCTCCCAGTATACCGGTTTACGTTGTATCACTCATTTGCGTGTTAATTCATTCTCATTTATGGTTAGAATACATGGAAATACACGGAACGTAATTGCCGTCGATTACGCGGAAAATAGAGAGAGACTGAAACATAGAATATTCCGTGAAGTTACAAGTGTTTCGTTCGTTATCGCGTGACCTCCTATCGTGCTCACCGCCGAGTCTGTAACGTAATTAGTTTCTACTAGTATATCCGAGAAAAAGAAGTGGAAACCGAATAGTCAATGAAAGCATCATTCTAATACTACTCGTAATTAACTGAGCGAATTCTTTTAAATTTCTTTGTCACTCTCTTATATTGTACAGTTGTGCATCATAGTGTCCAGACGCTAGACACATTTATTTTTATTTTCTCTTATTCCTATTTCCCTGTACGATTAATTCTAATTTGCGACTCTATTTTCGTGTTGATTTTCTGCAATCTACAATTTGCAATGATTTTAGAAAAAGAAAATGTTGAGGATTTGAATAATTCGATCGAAATAATTTTACGGAGTAGGATTCTGGATTCTACAAATTTAAATTGAGAGAGAGAGAGAGAGAGAGAGAGAGAGAGAGAGAGAGAGAGAGAGAGAGAGA